AGGGGTATGATAGCTCCCATATTGCCCAGTCTGTAATTACAGTGCAAACGACAGTGCTGTAAAGAAAACCAAATCCCCCGTCTGCAGTAATCTGCTTTGAACAAGAGTAGGGTGGGGATTGGTCTTAAGAGCTGGTAAATTATGCCTGCCTGATTTTGCTCAGAAGTTTGTTTTTAATGATTTTATGTTGATTAGAAACCTACTGGTTTGGGGCTTTTTCCCTACTTCTTTTGTTTTTCTTCCCCGCCTACTTCTTTCTAAGAATTGACCCTGGCCAATGTATACTTGGGACTATTGAGACTCCACTGACTCAGAATATATTTTGGTTAAATAATAAGGTCTAAACGTCGGGAAATCATGCCACTGATATATGTGTGCTGGTACTGAAAGTTAGTGGTGTTTTCATAAATCGTTCAGAAATAGTGGCTATGCCACTTACTACAAGTTTGTGAATTTTCTTTAGCAGTGTGTCCAAAAGTGATCTCTTCTGCTACCGACCACGTGTTGAAAGGTAGTGTTAGTTAAGAGGACAGACTCTGAAATTATAATCTGGGTTCAAATACTCTCTCTAAGGTGTCTACTACTCGAGTGATTTTGAACATGCCATTTAACTTCTCTTATTTAGCCCATAGCTCTTCGTTTTCTTTATTTGAAAAATAGGGAAAATAGTGCATACTTATAGAATTTTTATGATGAGTCAGTGGTCTGTCACATGTAAATGCATAGTTTTGTGCCTAGAACATATGAAATATAAATGTCACAGTATTCTTTTTACAGTCACCCAGCTGACATAGACTGTTAAGTTCACGTCATATATTTCATGTATGCACATACACAAAGATATATTTTTAAAATGTGGAACACACACACATATATAGACATGTATACAGTATAATTACAAATAATTCTACATAGTCCTAGCTATTCAGCTATCCCAAAGAAAAGAAAGCTGCAGATCTGCTGAGACTGCTACAATTTAAAATGCTGCATGTTCAGTCAATTTTTGAAATGCTGTCTTAAAAAATTCAGCAATTACAGGGAATCCAGACAAAATCCTGCAGGAGTAGCTTTTCTTGTGAATGTATTTCCAATATGAATTTGATTATTAATCAAACATCAACATATCTACTATAGCAAACCATATTCTCTGAGGTACCACCGTTCCTTTCCATCATAAAGTAGCAGATGTTAACAAATGAATTTTAAAAGCTCAGGATATGACAAAGCATTCAAGAAGTAATGAGGTTTCTTGAAACACAACTCAAATCTTAAGCAAACATGGGGCACATCCCATGAGCACATGCTTAACAACAACAACAACAAAACACTAATTCAAAGTAGAGCTATGTTTAGTTAATTAAAAAAAAGTCCAAATGACATGAGCCCAAACTAAGAAAGCGAAACATAATGGTGCACATCAATCTAATAATTCGAGTCTCCCTTGGTCTTCAGATTCAGAAGGATTGAGCAGGCACCCGTAGGCTACACTGCTGCTCTTCAGATGTACAAAGGTGAGTCAAGAAGTACTGCTACAAGATCATAGAAACCACTATTAAACAGAGGTATTAAAACGTGACGCTATTGTTTCCCAACCTACCTGCCATCTGGACCGCAATATTTCTGAAGGTGGAATGCTTCCCTGTCTAACCTGTCCCTACAGAATTACGCTCTCTTCCATTTATATGCAGAACAGAACTACAGCTTCAGCATGACTGAGGGGCTCAAATGCTGTTCCTTTTCATTGTGCTTTGAGTGTGAGGAACACATAAAAAGATCAAGGCTGTTAGGCAGATGGGAAAGGCGCTCCAGTGATGGACTCCGAGGCCCCAGCTCTCGCTCTCCTTCAAAGAATGAGCAGGGGAAGGGTCATGCTGGGGGGGAAAATCCCTTGGTGTAACTTTCCTAGCCTGTTTCTCCCCAGTGCAGATTATATTTTCCTTAAAACGTCTTCCTAGATCACCGATGATATCGGTGCCATACCGAAGTGTGGTGAGTAAATCACAGTGCCCAGCTTTCAGAAAGAATATCTGGGGTCCTAAAGGCTTGTCTTAAAACAAGCAGACATATAAGTATAATGTCAGATACAAGTCCACACCGAGGAAGCATACAAGACTGCGTGATTCAAGAATTGTAAATAACAAAATCTAAGAGCAGAGGAGGGAACAATATTAGAGCTTAAAATTCTGAGCACTCGGTTTGCAGAAGGCTAGACATTGACAGTAAAAACCCAAAATCCATTTTCAGGGGTGTGCCCCCATGTTTTTTAATAGAAGAAATACAGGATATGTAAATCTAGAAACAGTAACTAGATTAATGGTTTCTTGGGGATACGGTAGGGGAGGATGTGGGGAAATGGGTAGCTTATAACAAAGAATACAAGAAAGAAGAAAATCTTCTCAAATGTATCTTGGTGATATTTGTACACCCCTCCTTGATATGATCTAACTATTGAATTGTAAAAAAAATTAAAAAGTAAAACTTAATTACCCCTTGGAAATCCCAAACAATTGTCATAACTTTCTGAGCCGACCTCTTTGCCTTGAATTTGATAGGGTAAGCAAGGCACTGTTTTGATTAGTCCTTGCTCTTGGTTAATCCAAGACTTGTCCCTGGTTAAGATTCGGTTCATAAAACCATCTAAATTAGCTTCCTTACAAGTCTGATGGAAAGATCAGTTTTTGAGGCGGCGTCGATGGTAATTCTACTGTCTTCTACCATTCCTGAACTTCAGCCACAATTTCTTCCTTCATTGAGGTTGATAGACCTTCCTCTCTTGGCTTATCTCTGAGGTCTTCCTTCTCCTCCGTAAAACATCTGATCCAGCTCAATACCGTTGTTTTTACCTAGGGCAGCCTTTTCACAAACTTGTTTCACAGCTTCAATGTTTAGGGTAGATGTCCACTTGCATTTTGTTAAGAATTTGACCTCAAAATCATTTGCTTCCATAGCATAATAAGTACTTTTGAGGGCACCCTAATATGATGAAGGTAAATGTGCTCCTAAAAGAACTTGTCTTCAGCCATTTACTAATTGTAGTGATATGGTTACACAGTTTGGTCAGAATAAATCCATTACTGTATGAACTAGAATCCTGGTGGCAATATTTTTTTTCACTTACCCTACAATCGTATAACTTTCATTTCCGAGCACACTTAGATTTCTTGAATGACATACGCTTCAGTTCTCCAGTTCATTGTCGTTTGCTCTGTCCTGGTTAGTATTTTGTTACCTGCTCTCCTATTTGCCACAGGAATGCCAGGCCTCCCCATTCTCAGCCATCCTTTGTCCTATCCGTTAAAAAAGGAATCTGAGCCTAAATTCAGGTTCGTTCTTTCAAGCCGAGAGCTGTGCACAGGACAATGACATAAATTCTGAAATCGCCTACAAACAGGAGTGCTACAACTCCAACAACCAATGAGGAAAGGAAACGTAAGATCATTTGATACAAAAAGGTTGTTTATTTCCTAGGATGTGTTTGATGTAGAGGAGAAAGTCAGTGGGGGCCTCCTAAGAGATTGGGAGAGTAAGCTTTAGATTTTCTGGGACTCTAAGAACACCAGTGGTGTAGTGGGTACAAGTTGGACTTCTAACTGCAAGGTCAGCAGTTTGAAGCTCTCAGCCACTCTGTGGGAGAAAGACATGCCTTTCTACTCCTATAAAGAGTTATAGTCTTGGAAATTCACAGGGGCAGTTCTAACCTGTCCGACCAGCCTCTGTGAGTCAGTATTTACTTGGTGGCAGTGAGTTTTACAAATAATTTACAGTTTATTTTAGAAAATGTGGTTTGTCTTTTCCTTATTGCCCTGAGTTGCACCTCTATTCCTAGGACCTGGTTGGGATCCTGGATGAGTGATGGGAATGGGGCTGATCAAAGAAGGATCCAAGTAAGAAAGACAAGAGCAAAGCAGTTAAGGAAGAAGCTTACATTTGAGGGTAAGCATATGAGCCTTCGCTTTACCATAAAGAAGTGCCCTACCCAACCACGGAATCCCTTCCTTTCCTTCCCTACAAGGTTCATCATGTGCTAGGGAGGCAGCGGTAGGTAACATTAGCTGAGTGATAATCAGCTGCCCTCATTCTTTCACACAGAATAAATACATCACCACAACTGGTTCTCAGAGCACTCTCATGTAAAGGAACTACTATCATCCATATTTTATAGAAAAAAGGAATGATAGAGATGTGAAGCGAATAACTGGCTTGCCCAGAGTCACAAAGAGAATGGCATAGATTTGAACCAGGATCTGTCAGGAGTCAAACAGTATTCTTAACTGCTGACAGAAAGATTGGGACAAAAGAGAAAGGGTCTAGCAGATGACTTCTTAAAAGTCACCGAGGGCAAACTTCATGGAGCACAGTTATGCTCTGACACAGATGGAGTTACTATGAGTCACAATGGATTCAATGACAACTGGAATGTCAGCCAGGGTCCAACCTGGTAAATATTACCTCCCTCCCATCTCCGCGCAAGATTGCCCACATTTAGATCACACATGTACTACCGGCGTAATAAGAGAACCTGAACTACCATTCAGTACCAAATAACACTCACTGATAATTTTTTTAGATATAATAAGTAAAATAATTACTTTTACTTATTTGTAACTTGTTGCACACAGTAATAAGAAGCTATCTGTTGGTTTTCTGGATTTTTTTTCAGCAACTAATACATAACCACAAGATTATAAAGAAATAATTTTTTTCAAAATATGCATCTGTGAACCCAATATATTCTCTAGCAATCATTTTTATAGCTTATAGACATTTTAATGTTTCCAAGAATATTTTCCCTCTTAAATATTGTTTGCACATGAAAAGTTCTCAGCATGCCTCTAGTTTTCGGCATAGATGAAAATTACTATATTGAATATTTTGGAAGCAGTATAACAGAATAACTGCTGTTTTCTGATCGCTAAGTTTGTTTTCATTTTACTTAATCTCAGAACACCCATGACCTTCTTTAGGTAGAACGGAGGGACCAAGAACAAACCCTGCCTTACCTGTTTAAGGGCCTTTTTGGTGTGTTGCTGAAAGGAAGACACTAACTTGCTTTGCACTGCTGTGTTCGTAAGGCTTGAATCTCGAGTGGAAGACGCTTCATCAGTTACCTGCTTTGCACAAACTAGAAACAGAGAGAGATAATGATATTACTAATTTGAATTCCTTTTTTTATATCCACTGTAATTAACTCTCTTGGAGCTGTGCTCCAATTGAAAATGGATACTTAAAATAAAGCAAAAGAGCTCAGTGAAAAGAAGCACATCCAGATTTGAAGTGAGAGCATCATTTAATAACCATTTGGCCACAGTTACAAGACACTGAACACCCCTTTATGTCTCTGCCTCCTCATCCACTAACGGGCCATCATTTCCATACCACAGGGGTGTGGGGGGGCTCTGTATGGAGCCTTCTTCAAAGCAGCAGCAGCAACACAGTGTAACACCTGGCCCAAGAGTTGGGAGTCAGCAGATATTACTGGAAGCCGAATGTGGAAACTGGATAAGGGATATTGGTCTGCAGAAACAAATCTAAGCGAATGAAATTGGTTTCAATATCTCTAGGCCAACTTGTTAAGTCCTTTCTACTCAACAGGGTCGCATCTCTACACACTATGACCCACGGTGGCATGCTTAGCCACTCCTGTGGAAGAAGAAAAAATGAAATCTGAGATGACAGTTGTCTGTTCAAGACAATTATTTTCAAGGAACTAAAATCAATGGTGTAAGTGTAGTGGGTTACTCGTTGGACTGCTGACCACAAGGTCAGCAGTTGAAAACACCAGAACCTTTGTAAGAGAAAGGCTTTCTACTCCCATAAAGAGTTACAGACGCAGAAACCCACCAGGGCGGGTCTCCCTTATCTTATACAGCCACTGAGTTGTCAGCGACTCAATGACAGTGAGTTTGCCTTGCAGATTCTAACACAATTGGCCCATATGTACCCAATCAATATGGCCCTTGGAGGTGTAATTCCTTATGTAATGTGTTATAATTATGGACTTTATGCCTGTGACCCGAAAGAAAGAAAAACAATGAAATGGGATACATAAAGATCAATATCCTAGATGTTAGTGAGCCGAAATGGACTGGAATGGGCCACCTTAAATCAGACAGTCCTATGGTTGACTATTCCAGCAATGGCAAATTCAAATGGAATGGCTTCACATTTGCCAAAAAGGATATTTCAAGATCCATCTCAAAAACTACAAAGCTGTCTGTAATGTAATATTTATCTACATCCATGGAATTACAACAATACAATTATTATTCAAATACTCACACCAACCAACCACTAGAACTAGTGATGAAAAACTTGAACAATTTTTACCACCATCTTTAATCCGTTATTGATGAAACAATCAAGATGCATCGATAATTGTTGGGTATTGGAAGGCAAACGTTGGAAAGAAAGAGGAAGGAACCATAGTTGTTCCAAGATAAAGAAAAGACGGTCTTGGTGATAGAAATGAAGCTGGCGACTGCATGAGAGCGTTGCGCAAGACCAATGACTTCTTGAAAGAAAATATCTCTTTTCAACAACACAAATGATGACTATACACATGGACTTCTCCAGAGGGAATACACAGAAATCAAATGGACATCATCTGTGGGAAGAGACTGGTGAGAAGCTAAGTATCAGCAGATAAAATCCAATTTGGGGCTGACTGTGGAACAGACTATTAACTGGTGAGATGCAAGTTCAGGTTGAAACTGAACAATCCAATAAGTCCATGAAAGCCAAAATAGGATCTTGAGCTCTATTCCACCTGAATTTCAAGAACATCCCAAGAACAGATTTGAAGCACTGAATATTAATGACAGAAAATGGCTGATATCAAGAACATCATACATGAGGAAAGCAAAAGGTCTTTGAAAAGAAGGAAAGAAAGAAAAGTTCAAATTGGATGTGAGAATCTCTTCTGAAAGTTATTAAGCATAGAGGACCTAAGGCAAATGGAGAAATGAAGTCAAAGAACAGAATAGAAAATTTCAAAGGGTAGCTCAGGAAGATGAAGTAAAATATTATTATAAAATGTGCAAACACCTAGAATTAGAACACCATAAAGGAATAAGATGCTCACCATATCTCAAACTGAAAGAATTGAACAAACATTCCAAGCCTCGAGTTGCAATACTGAAAGACTCTATAGGCAAAATATTGAGCTATGCAGGCAGCATATTAAGAGAAGAATGAATTTATACACAGAATCACTGTACCACAAAGAACTACTTGATATTCAACCATCAAAAGAGGTAGCAGTTGACAAAGAACCAATAATACTGAACGAAGAAGTCCAAGCTGCACTGAAAGAATGAGCCAAAAACAAGGTTCCCGGAATTGATGAAACACCAGCTGAAAGGTTTCAACAAGTTGATGAATCACTGGACGCACTCACTATGCGAATTTGGAAGACAGCTATGTGGCCAATTGACTTCAAGAGATTCTTATTTGTACCCATTCCAAAAAAAGGTGACCCAAAAAATGCTCAAATAACAGAACAGTATCATTGATCTCAGATGTAAGTAAAATGCTTTGGCAGGTCATCTAACGATTGCAGCAGCATATTGGTAGGAACCTGCCAGAGGTTCTGGCTGGGTTTGGAAGGCAATGTAGAAAAAGAGATGTCCTTGTGGATTTCAGATGGATCTTAGCAAAAAAACAGGAATACCACAAAGATGTTTACTTGTTTTTATTGACTGTACTAAAGCATTTGACTGTGTGGATCACAGCAAACTGTGGATAGCCCTGAGAAGGACAGGGATTCCTGAGCACTTCATTGTGCTCATGCAGAACTTGTGCATAGATCATGAGCCAGCCCTTTGAACTGAATGAGGGAATGAACACAGCAAGGTTCAAATTCAGCAAAGGTGTGTGCCAAGGTTGTATCCTCTCCCCATACTTAAACTTTATGCGGAGTAAACAACCAGAAAACCTAGATGAGATAAGGAAGAATGTAACATTAAGATTGGGGGAAGGCTTTTCAACAGCCTGCTATATGTAGATGACATAACCTGGCTTGCTAAAAGTCAGGAGGATGAGAAGCACTTGCTGATGAAGAAAAATATAGCAATGCAGCCTTCAATATAGTTTACAAAGTATGGTAAAGAAAACAACAGCTTTTACAAATGAACAATAGATCACATTATGATAAACAAAGAAAAAATTAAAACGTCAAGGATGTCATCTTGTTTGGGTCCACAATCAGTGTTCATGGAGGCAGTAGCCAAGAAATCAAATGATGCACTGCTTTGGGTAATTCTTATGCACAAGACCTCTTTTAAAGTGTTGAAAAGCAAGGATGTTACTTTGAGGACTAAGGTGTGCCTACCCAAACCATGGTATTTCCATTGCCACATATTCATGTGAAATTTTGACACTGAGTAAGGAACACTGCAGAAGAATCAATGGATTGGAATTTGGTGCTGGCAAAGAATACTGAAAGCAACATGAACTGCCCTAATAAATCCCCTCATTGTGAATACTGCCTGGGATTTCGGTGTCACCATTGCAGTGAATTACCAAAATCAGAGTAGAGTGCTGCAGAAGGATGGAGTCAGAGTGGGGAGAGAAGGATGGCGTGGAGAGGCCCGTGACCCGTCTTGTGGAAGCAGGGTAGACAAAGATGGGTAGATGTGGACCCCCACATCATTGCCTGCACCCTTTTACTAGAGTAGGCCTTCTACTTCACCTATTCTGTGGAGTCCAACTTGTCATGAGTGTGGACTGTGGAGTCTCCTTGTCATGAGTGATTTGAAAATCCAAAGGAATCTCAGTTCTAGGCAAAACCTGTAGGAATGAGAACTCTTCAATCAATCCTGCACTCGCAATCCACCAGAAAGACTACGTTGAATACTGACAAGAATTTATAAACATCACAGAGGCGGGTCCTTGCCCATTCACTGTCATTGATAGAACTGTCCCACATGAGTTTCTGAGAGTGTAACATTTTACAGGGGTAGAAAGCCCCATATTTCTCCAGGCTGATGGTTTCAAACTGCTGACCTTGCAGATCACACCCCACTGGGTAACTACTCCACACCATCATGGCTTCCATGTAGATGGTGGGCTGTGAGGGAGTGGCGGGGTGGTGGTGGGGCCTAGAGGGGCAAGTAATCAAGCCTGCTTTACACAGAAAGTACCTATCCACTTGTGTAAAAGCCAAGTTTTTCGGCACATTTTTAATACTGTTTTTGTGGTAAAATTAGGTGCCTCCGCTGATATTCGGATGGCTTATAGTCGAGTATTTATGGTAATCAGGAAAACTAATGACCCGCTGAGAGGGGGACTGAGGAGGTCAATTGTGAATGCCAGGTGCTTTACATCTGTGATCTCATTCAATCCTTGCATGGTCCTTCCATGACAGAAAGGTATTGTCTCCAGACTGGAGAGTAAAAAAGTGCACTCAGAAAGACCAAATCACTCAGCAGTGCTCATAGATGCAACGGAACAGCAGGGCTGGGCTGTAAGACAAGGCTGGTCTAGGCCCAGAGCGCAGGATTTTCCCACTTCTATTGATGGCAAGAGCTAAGAACTGATGCAGAAAAGTCAATGTCAAAAGGAGTTGCATTGATTGCGTCATTTTGGAGTCAATGATACAGGACACTACTAAGATCAGGGGAAAGCAATCATCCGGAACTGAACATGCAATATTGAGACTTGTGGGTGAGAGGGATGGGCCCAGGGAATACGATGGCTAAGGTAGGAGAGAGTGAGAGCAGGCCTTGAATTAATCATTGAGGGACTTTTTTGTACAACTCGATGCATTACAACACTCTTCCTCTTTAAGACAATCTAAATGTTCTAGTAAAGCTACATTTTGATATACTGCTTACATAACACTATGGCTTCTAAATTTCTCTTCTGGAAAGGATGACGAATCTGTGACATTCATTCTTACCAAGAAATACTGGAAAGAATGATCAGCTTGTATTCCACAAATAAACCTATTTTGAATACTAATTATATAGATCAGTGTTTCCCAGAGTGGGCAATATCCCACCTGGAGGTTCTGGAACAATTGAGAAGGGACCGCAAAAGCAAATACCTACACTTTATCCTGGATTATGGACAATAGCACACAAGTTTTTCATTATTGGGAGGGGAGGTGTGAGCATACCGAGT